GGTGGTGGCGATGGCGGTTGCGGCGGCGGGTGGGGAAATCTGATCGTGAGGTGGTGGTGGCGATGGCGGTTCCGTAAAGATCACAGGTTAAGTAGTTAATTGTCACTAATTAGTCAATTAACCCCTTTTAAAGGTCACAGGTTAAGTACTTAATTGACACTAATTGGGCAATTAACCCGTTTAAGGTCACAGGTTAAGTACTTAATTGACACTAATTGGTCAATTAACCCTTTTAATCGGGGTCAATTAGGCTAATTGGGGTTAATTGGAGTCAAATGTTAACTATAAGGTCATCGACGGTAGACGGGGGGAGGGGTTAGCGGTTTGGCGGTTTTGCGGGGGGTCCAGAACCGGCCATTTCATACTACTTGTTGGCGCGGCAAGTGTTTTAAATAATATAGAACATACTTGTTCGCCATAAAATAAATTAAACATAAATTAAATAATAAAAACTGTATAATTGAATAATTAAATAAATATGTGGCCCTACAACGGCGCAACAATAATAATAAATAAATATGTGGCCCTACAACGGCGCAACAATAATGATAAATAATAATAATAATATGCTGGCCCTAAAGCAGCACAGCTACTACACTAAAATAATAATGAACACGTTGGCTCAACACGGCATACAATAAATATATAAATAATTCAAAATATGTGGCCCACACGGCTCACACTAAATAATAACAATACTATAATAATAATTTGCCTACGACGGTTAGGCCCGTCGGCCTTTACACAAGTAAACGAAACAAATATGGTCGACCAATACTCACAATCACCAACGAAGTCTACAGCGCTGACAAAGAACAAACACGATGAAACCACGTTTTGCACAATGGCTGTTGGCAAGTGACCACCCTAGAATATGGGACAATTAATGAAGGCAATAAAAATTGCGCCGAACCATCCAATACCATAAAATCCGACATCGAAAAAGCTTGGAAGTTAAATCTTTCTGGCTTCTCTCTAGACCCCTCAGCTTGGTCTCCCGAAATGCGCAACAGAATGTATCAATGCGGAACAGGACTGGCTGCAGCATTTTCAATGCATTTGCCTTTACAGCACTGCATTGCATTTGCTATCTTTTTGTTTGGACTGGGTTTATTATATGCTACATCATTTGGTGTCCAAGTGTTTTAGCCTATGATTTAAATCCAATAGATCCCTCCATCTGGATGACTGCCGGAACAACGTTTGACGTGCTTACTGAACATGATTTAGATATTTATAAAACTAATTTAACTGCTTCAACAGGCGAACCAACTGGTTTGTGGTTGTACACAGGGAATGATAACCCTTATTGTTATACTGAGATAGTGTATGACACTTGGTGGTTTGAATCCAAAGGAGCATTAGATCACTGCTCTAAAGAAGTGAACCTGCAAGGGTGCACTTTAGTGGACTACCATGGAACTAGTGACTTGTCTGTTTTTCAAAATTACAATACTATTACATGTATAGGCATAAAAACTACAATAGCATCAATAAGATCTAGCTCCGACCCCAATTGGAGTATGGTCTTCGTTCTACCCATTTCAAATATTTTTGGCAAAGTACAATATTTTTTAAAAGAAGGTAAATATTATTTCATAAATTCTTATTATTTAGGTAAAACTCTCCACTACAATGGAGATTCATTTTACAACTTAAGGTTAGTAAATCAAAAACGTAATTGGTTAAGTTATGATAATTTAGTTTACTATGTAGGTAATACCCTGGGGGAAATGTTAGAATCATTTCCTCAGGTCAATACAGAAAATAATAAAAATACAACAAAAATTACACAAACATAATCACATTTAAATTAACATCAACACTACTTATGATTATCATTATAACGTCATGAAAAAACATTATCAACATAACATCGAACTGTTGTACACCGATACCGGTAAATTATGATTATTATTATTAAAATGTTATACCTTTTTATTTTTTTTAAAATATGTTTCAGATTCATTTGTTTATATGATAAAAACGAGAGATTTTTATCATGATCTAGCAAACACGAACAACTTGCTGCGTCAAATGGACACGTCTAATCTCCCATGTGATCATCCGTGCTATGCAGTTGATCGTGCGAAAATACCCGGACTGTTTAAGGACGAAACCCATGGTCGTATCATGTACGAATTCGTCACACTCCGGGCAAAGTCTTATGCATACGAAATCGAACTCATAGAGACGATCAAAGCCAAAGGAATAAGGAAACACGTAATTCGAAACCATTTGACGCTTGCGGATCACAAGCGGTGTTTGTTTGAGACGCATAATGTTGACGGCGACGGTAGCGATGAACGTAACGACGACGACGACGACGACGACGATGAGAGTGATGAAGAAAGGCGAAAACGGTTGGCGGTGGAATGCAGTCAGGCTGTGGTGCAAAACATTTACCAGCAGAATGCTGGTAATGTCACAATGTTATCCCCGCACCCGAACTATATGCCGTACACACCGTATAGATTAAATAAATCAATCCGATCGTTCAAACATCAAGTGAAAACGATAAATTCGTTAAAAAAACCTTGAATCGATCGGACGATAAACGATATATTTTAAATTACTATGTGCATACTCTAGCTCATGGTCATTATAAAATTAACTAGTCATTCATCTTTTTTTTATTTTATTTTTTTATTATTATTTTAATCCAAAATGGCAAGAAATCCAAGAAGCACTTTTACGAGGACAAAAACATTACCATCGCCCAGACATCATTGCAAGAGTATTTAATCGAAAAGTTAAGGAGTTAATAGATCTGTTGACAAAAGGAGATTTGTTTGGGAAAGTGAGGTGCCATATATATTCAGTTGAATGGCAGAAACGAGGCCTACCTCACGTACACATATTACTATGGTTGGAGAATCAAATTACATCAGATATGATAGATAAATTCGTGTGTGCTGAGATTCCGAATCCAGATGTAGATCCTTTACTGTACGAGATAGTAAAGGCTAACATGATACATGGACAATGTGGACTTTTGAACAAAAATTCTCCGTGCATGAAAGGAGGTGTTTGCAGCAAACGTTATCCAGTTACGCTCATTCAAGAAACTCAAAGAGGTGAAGATGGCTATCCAAAATATAGAAGGCGATCAACAAACGATGGTGGTTTCAAAGTGAGTATTGAGTCAATTGACTTAGATAACAGGTGGGTTGTTCCATATAACCCTGTGTTATAGCCGCATTATAAATGTAGAAATAACCAGTTCAATCAAGTCTATAAAATATGTATGCAAATATGTCACAAAAGGTAGTGATCACGCAGCGTTTGGTTTAGGAAAATCTGACCATACAGATGAAATAAAAATATATGAAAGTGGCAGGTATATCAGTAGTTCCGAAGCAGCTTGGAAAATTTTAGGTTTTTATATACACGATAGGTATCCAGCTATTATTCATCTTGATGTTCACCTAGAAAATGGACAACGTGTCTACTTCACAGCAAATAATGTTGCCGAAAGAATAGAAAATCCACCAACAACTCTTCAGGCTTTTTTCCAGATATGTCAAACCGATAATTTTGCAAGAACATTGCTTTATCCACAAGTTGCTTCGTATTATGTGTGGAAAAATAAGAATTTTGTTAGACGTAAACAAGGCCAGAATGTCGAAGGTTGGCCAGGAGTTAAGAAAGATACAGCTTTGGGTAGAGTTTATACAATCCACCCAAACAATGTTGAATGTTACCATCTTCGTCTTCTTCTTCATTACGTAAAAGGTCCAACATCGTATTCATTTTTGAAGATTGTGAACAATATCGAGTATCCGACATTCCAGGCCACATATAAAGCACTTGGATTATTAGAAGATGACAATCAGTAGGATTTTGCTTTAGATGAAGCAGCATTAAGTCGTTCACCTAATAAAATGCGAGAACTTTTCAGTGTAATATTAATATTTTGCCATCCCTCAGATGCTTCAAGTCTTTGGACTAAGTATAAGGACGATTTTTCAGACGATATTCGGCGACAATATTATAGACAACATCTAGAAAATAATATAACAGACAGTGAACTTTATAATAAGTGTTTGGTATTAATTGAAGAGGTCCGTGAAGTTGGCCGTGCAAAGTTGGCCGCCAAAGCGAAAATTTGGTACATAATTAGTAAGCCATTAGTAAGTATTAGTAAGCATAAATTCAGAATTTGTAAGTACAACCCACACCGATTATCCCTAAAACTAAATTTCCGGCTAACTTCTCGGCAGCCGGAACTTTTTTTAAATTTTAAAGTTTTTTTTTTTTAAATATTTAGTAAGTAATTAGTAAGTATTTGTAAGCATAATTCCCAAATTTGTAAGTCAACACTTACTCGATTATCCCAAAAAGTTTGCCAGCCGGAACATTTTTAAATTTTAAAGTTTTTTTTTTTTAAATATTTAGTAAGTAATTAGTAAGTATTTGTAAGCATAATTTCTAAATTTGTAAGTCAACACTTACTCGATTATCCCAAAAAGATTGCCAGCCGGAACATTTTTAAATTTTAAAGTTTTTTTTTTTTAAATATTTAGTTGGTAATTAGTAAGTATTTGTAAGTCATCAACCGAAACTTTTAAGGGTGTACTTTTAAAGTTGTATCTAACCAAATTTTTGCAAGCCGGACTATTTTCGAATTTTAAAGCTTTTATTTTCCCAATATTTAGTTGTTAATTAGTAAGTATTTGTAAGTCACCAACCGAATTTTTTAAGCGTGTTCTTTCGTAGCGTTTCGTTTAAGTAAATATTTTAAAAGGGGCACATATAAACTCCTGCACATGAATCTAGTGTAATTGTAAACTCTACTTGGAAAAAAACAAATAAAATATAGGGTTCATGGAAACTCCACCAGTGAAAAATACACTTTCCTCTTTAATGGTATCAGTGGGAAAAACACTACGAATGATTATGTTCATCAAAGTATATATCATTGGGAATACTTTTTTGTGATATAACAAAGATGAATTAATTTTTAATATTAATAAATGATAAATTTCTACTTATTGTATATGGACACGATATTATATTCATGTTTTAATTAGCGTGATAGTATGTAAGATGATTTATAACTTGCAAAATGTCCATATACACAATACAAAAAATTATTGCGAGTTGACTTAAATTTTTTTTGTTACCTAATATTAATTATATTAATTTTATGATTCAAAAAATAATATTATTCATAGAAGTTTATGAAGTAACAAATAATGAGTAGTAAAAAAATGTATTATTTTCTAAGTACGTTAGTGTTTGAATTTCAAAATAATTAAGATAATATTATATTTTCATTAGCATTCTTATTTTAAATATACCTCTGTATGCCCAAGAGCCTTTAAAAAACTAAAGATGACTCTGATCATATATCATTTATTTTAAGAACCGGAATATCACTGTCAATTTTTTAAAGAAAAAATATTAAATAGAATATATTATACCGAGTTCCATCTTCAAACTGTATGTATTTATATGAAACTATAGATTTATTACCAAATCGAATAAATCCAATAATTTTTTTATTTTCACTCTTAATTTTTAATTTCGCATTAAAATGGCATGGTTTTGTGTCAATATGATTATTAGTGGTATCTACGTGTGTGTAGTATTTATGATTGGTCGTCTATAGCCTATTATCTATATTCTCTCAGCGGTAAGGAAATAGCTGCTGTGAAGACGAAATTCCAGGTAAGGAGTCAAAGACAAATAAAAGATTGTGCACATGTGGCAGTGCTGTCGTTTACACAATAACCATAAGCCGATACCGATGTCTAATGACTAATATTTTATTAAATAATTATATTATTCCTATCTGTTCAGTTGAAAAAATATTTTCCAAACTATTTTTTGGTCAAACTATCATTTGGTTAGTGTCAGTCAGCAGTTATACTCATCGTTGCACGAACTACAATACATTGAAGATTAAACGTAAGTATCTACCTATATTCTTGCATATTATAATAGTACTTCACTATCCGTCATGAACGGAACTTAGTGGTTAGTAAATAGTGGTTGACAGATATTTTAATAGACTGTTAATTAACGATGCATATTAATATTTTATTATATTTTGTAAACAGTTTTGATCGCTTAATAAGTATATTATGTTTATGTAAATCAAAACACTAGGACAATTTATGACTTAACCCGTTGTTGGTCGCATCTTTTATATGTAGGTACTTCTTTGGTGACGTAGTGAGGGATTCTCTCACCTTTTTTAGTATGTCAAATATTATGTTTAAAATTACCAAAATACATTTATTATGTAATTTGTCTTAACTATTCTGTTATAAGCACTTATAAACTATATATATTTCAGTATTTATATTTTCTTTCATACAAAATACATTACAAATTACATTTTGACCAGCCGAAAATTAACATTACTATTGTTATTACAAAAAAATAAAGAAATTAAATGTTTTATTTTTGAATTAGCATATAACAAACGCAGGAATAGTATATCGTTGTAGAATGTTTTAAATGGATTTTAATATATTGCGCAAATTAACTATAATAATAATACATGTCATTTGTCGTCGAACCAGAGAGTTGCAGAGTTCTTACTCTAATTGTTTTAAAAATGTGCGTCATGGAATAACAATATTAGGGTTTGATTTGTAAATTATTTGGATGTTTATTCCAACAATGTTGAGTAAAGAAAAAAATACTGTCAGTTAGGTTACATACATCTCGGGTTGTTTCTTGAAACTAAGTATTCGCCTTTTATCTACACCTCCTTTTGACATATTATAAAATTAAGTGATTTCTGGTAATTTTTTATCTCCTGAGCTCTGATCAATGTCACATTATGTATGCATTGTTGATAGCATCATAAAATTTTTTCCTTTTTTTTTTGTAACATACGACAATAAAAGACAATTATTATCTTCAAATCCAAATTTTGTACTTAATATTTGTCGGTGTTTTGTATCTAAAAATATAACGGTATCTCCTGTTTATTTTTTTTCAGTGTATACCTACCATAGTAGTTTTATAGTCTTTTTAGAAATTCGACCGCTAAAAGGACTGAAGTGAACCAATTATCAATAATAATATTACGGCCTGTTTTAGCAGTTGGTTTTATTATATGTTTGACAACAATAGCTCTACTATTATTTTGTAAAAACGGTCAAACAGATTCTTTGCTTCGGTAAATTTCCATATTTACTGTATAATATACACGCGAATGTACCAAAACAATCTTTAAAAAAAAATCTTTATACCATATTTATTAGTTTTGTTAGCTATGTAGTAACGAAATTTACATTTTCCCCAGAAGCCCTCTTACGTTCCGTCGATTGTACAATATTCTCCTGGTATATAAAATGATGTACAACAATTTACGAATTTATCAAACACCGTTCTAATTGGTGCCAAATTGTCAATTTTTTTTTTCGTTCATTCCGATTGGGTATGTTATCAAATCATAAAGCTTGAAGTAAAAGGTAAAAACTTCTTTCAGACATCACAGCACGAACAATGTCTGGAGCTAATCCATCGTTTGCCTACAAGTTGGAAAGATTTATGTGGTTACTTCGCAAAATACCAGTAATATAAAAGAGACCGTAAAGTGCTTGAATTTCATCTACATCAGTATCTAAAACATCTTTGTCTCTTTGATAATTATCATGAATTTTTGGCAAATATATATTGGTACAAATAGTAATTTCTTATAAACAATCGTTGGAGATAAAAGTTCCCAAGAGTAAATTATAGTTTCAGTATTTTTTGCTACCGATTTCACGTCAGGAAGGTTCTACTAGAATCGATACAACAAGACATTTCGGACTCACTTCCATTTTCAATAAACTCATCAATGCTTTCTAGATCATCATTTTGTATTTATCCCTGACTGTAATTTTTATCTTCATAAAGTAAAGCAGATATGTTATTATGCATAGTAAAAACTTCACAAAAAAAAAAATGACTTGTTTGGTCGCGTATAGAGAATTTCTCTCACGCGTTGGACGGATACTGATAGTAGATAATCAAATAAAATGTTGATTAATACCCATCCATATTTAGATTAAATATATCTGATAAGGTATAGCATAACTACTAGATAATAAAACGATATAAGAAACAGTAGTGACCAAAATAATATTGTCGTGAGATAATCTCTCACCACGTCACCATTGACGGGTTTTTAAATTAATTTTTTTTTTTATTGACTTCTAATTTTTAACTGAAGACAATTTAATTGATTTAACTTAACTTTAACTTGCACAGTTAATTATTTTCATGTTGCCCACCTTTGAATATTTATTTCAGATGGCCGGAAAAAAATGTAATTATGACAAAAATGATTTGCTTGAAGTTCTGCGTATATTTAAAACGGATATATTAAATGCATTAGGAAAAAGTACCGATTCATTATGGGAAAGAA